GCGTAGTTCAGAGACGACTTAAAGAAGGATGAAAATTTTCAAAATACTTTAAGTAACAAGCTAATAGGGCAGAGTGCAGATTATTCTCAGCAAAGGATCTGAGATGGGAAAATTTTCAAAGCATTTGAGCAACTGTAAGTAGTTCAGCTTAATTACATGGTTATAGCTTGTTTCACAATTGAAGATTTATGTTAACCTTCACTGATGTACCATTTCACCTTTATTTTACATTCTTGTGGTAATTAACAAATCATATTGCTTTTGTCCTTTAATTGTCGTCATTAAAATTTTCTCTCCTTATCTGCCCTTACTACATACAGGGAGAAAGAAGAGGAGGATAATTTTTCTTCTACAAGTTGAACCATCATGCATTGCTAAGAAATAGAGCAGGTGATCAACACATGCATTTTTTTCCAGAAAGACTAGATTCCTGTCCCTTTGTTCTTGGTGGAGATGGAGATAAACCTTTTAAATAGTTTAAAAACCCAAATAACTGTATGAGAAACATTATAAATTCCTTTCTATCTGTGATGCCCTGCTCTAAGTGAAATGATTCGCTGACCTGAAATTAGCCGCTAATTAAAGTGTCCAGAATAATTCTGTACAATTTAGTTTCCATTCAATTAAAACAGACTCAAAATTGAATCAATTTATTAAACTTATTTATTTCAGGCTTTCCAACAGACACAATAATACCCATATGGAACAATTTCAGACAAATAAACAGTTTACCTATTCTGCTTACAGAAGTGAGAGTACTACTTCCCAGTTAGAATCAGACACACTCCAAATGAGAACATCCCAAATCTGAGCACTGCTTGCTATTCGTTAGGATGTCTTGAAGCATTGTTCTTGATCTCTTCAAAAGTATAGGGACATCCACTTGTAAAAGAAGAAGTAGAGTTCAATCTAACCAATCTTGCTCCAACCCCCTCTTCACTTAGTGTAATTGTAAAATGAATAAAACATTTTGATCAGTACTTCAGCAGTAAAATCTTAGCCCCCAAGCAAAAACATCTTGTTGGCAAAAAAGTCTGTGTATTTGAAAAGGAAAACTACTTGTAAGTGATGCTTTTTCACCTACACCTTTGTGTAATAGATTCTCTCACTTAGACTTGAAGCAATTTCTCTAGAATCATGGCTTGTGAAAATGAATTATGCCTGCATCCAAGGGCCTTGAGTTTTCAAATGATGTTTTGCAAAACATTTAACTAAATGCAGCCATTGTGTAAGTAGAAGTGTTGTGCCCAGATTTCAAGGTTCCCAGGACCCCCAGGGAGCCCGTCAGTCCGATGCAAAAGCAAAGAGTCCTTCATTCGAACTAGTTCGGCTCCCCGACCACACTCACCGATACAACAACGGTAAGCCCAGTGGTCGAAAGAGAGCGAGGCCTGATGGGATTGTGGGTTTTATAGTAAGGGCAGGGGAGGGGACTGTGGGCCCCGCCGATTGGCCAGGCGAGAGTCGGGTCTTGTTACACAGGATGCGGTCATCTCTCTGGCGCACACGTCCCTTGATTGTCATTGGTTAGTTTAAAGAAATCCTGGGCATGGCCAGCAGGGGCCTGGGCTTCCGGGAAGAAGGCACTCTCCTGAGCACATGGTGGCCGCCCCAAAAATGGAGGACCCAGGGCAAGATGGAGGGCGCAGTCCTCACACCCCCAAGGGCGAGCTGATCCCAGGCTCCAGGGGCCAGTCCGGTTGCCGGAGGTCCAACAGATTGACCAGTTCCAGCCCAGACAGGAAGTCCACGTCCTCCATCTCATTCCCGGGGGCGCCGGCGATCGCCTCCTCCTCCATTTCCTCGGGCGAGGGCACGCGCCCCGCCCCGCCGCCGCTGCTGCGTGGGTCCGGTCCGGGGGCGGTGGGCGGGTGGCAACCTGCGCCGGGCTTCCCGCCGTGGGCTGGGGAGTCGGTGCCCAAGGCCGCCAGCAGCGTGGTCAGGCCCTGCGACTACTCGCCCTTTCAGAAGGTAGTTGTTGGTATGGACAATTCAATGGAGTACACATAGCAATGTGGATTTTTATATTTCACCATCATTATCAGGTATGTGAAAAATATATCAATTGTTTTTTTTCCAATGACAATTAAATTTTGTTAGATTAATTAGTAAAACCACAATAATAGCAATGACAATGTGCTTTTATAACAATCAAACAGTTCAACTTAATCCACAGTGTATTAGATTCTCTCTCGTCAAAAGACCACAGAGTTCTTTGACAGGAAGAAATATATGTACAACTGAGTACACAATCTTAAATAAAATATGACAGGAACCTTAAACAATTCACATTAATAAATATTTGCAAAATTATTTCAGTTCATTGCTAAATTTAATATTCAACTGAAAGCTTCATTGGTTACATATCTTACTAAGTCTTTCAAAGAATACTTAGAAGTCACTACCTAATGGTAGGCAACCTGAACTTAATCAATTAACTTAAAGTCAAACTATCATAAGTTGCATATTTATAAAAACAAATCTGCTAAATTTTTGTCTATCATATTAATATAATGTAGATTGATTGAGATGGTCAAAATTTTGGATGAGAGGGGCCTAAATGAAGTGATAAAATAGTCCTGCTGTCTAGTAAATTAAATAAAATCAGGAAGGAATAAAAAGGAAGCAAGAGAAGAAGGAAAGAAGAAAGGAAAGAAGAGAGGGAGGATTTGTGAAATTGTTATGTGTCAGGCAAGAGACTAAATTCTTCCTATTTTTCCCTTAATTCTTCAACACTGGTTCTGCTAAGCCCAGGATTCAGTTTGGACTGTTCCCACCCCTAAAAAATGAGGATATCAAGGTTTAGAAAGGTAAAACATTTTTTTTTTCCCATGAACACATACATAATAAAGGATGAATCAGGATTTTAAGATGTTGACTGTTCCTTACCCCTGGATGACACTCTCTGCTTTAACATAGACCAACTAAACAAATATTTACTACCATTTACTTTTCCTCACATGCTTTTCCAATAAATATTACAATTAGCAGCAAAGACTTAGGATGTAATGTCTTCCTAGTACTCATTTGTAATAGAAGAAATTTTTAAAAAGCTTTCTGTACAAAATATTTTACTTTAGAATATTTTCTACCCAACTTGCTGAAACAAAATTTAATTAATGGTAGTAAAATTAGCAAGAAAGAAATTGAATGGAACAAAGAGACTAATTGTTCATTAACATGTTTATTTCACAGCCTGTTCTACATGTCATTTTTAAAATCACATCTTGCTGGAACATCTTTTCATAAAAATAGTGACTTCTTTCGGATATATTTTTGAAAGACTGTAATAACAATGTAAATGGGATTATGCTGTTTTACTAAATCGCAAACATGTATATTCTGTAACACAAACATGAGGTCAGCGTTGTTTCTCAATGCAAAATTAAACTATAGGAAAGAGAAGTGCTTGGCTAAGGAAGTTTGACCACCTCAATAAATGACTACCATTTGCACAGTTTTCTCATTTCCCTGCAATGCTTTTGAATGTTCAATAAAAATTGATATGAGTGAAAGGATACGAAATCTCTACCAACAAAGTAGAAAGAAAAAAAAATAATATACTGATTTAAAATAAACTTCAGCTACCTGTCATGAGCAAATTAAAGAAGACTTTAATGGACAGAAGTGCATCCCTTAGCAACATCATTAGTTGCTTCTATAGATGATTCAGCATATTCAAGTCTTTAAAAAGGGTTTAGAGATCTTTGTGTCTTTCTATTTGAATGTTGCTGGTTTCTCTATGGATTAGGCTGTTATTTCAGGTTAATTACTCTAGAAGGAAAGAGTAAGATATTCACATGTTCGATTTTACTTTTGATATTTAAAATAGCATCTTTTGCCATAGCATGACCTCCGTTTTTGCTTTTGCTTATTTTGTTTTAATCTTGAGTTATTGTTTGCAAATTTCTTGCTTGCGTCTTTCTCGTGAATAACTAAAGCTGATCAATCACCTGCTTTTTAATTTACTTAATTTGAGCTGAAAACCGGGGGTGGAGAGGGAGGTAAGAAGTTCTGTCATTTTACCAAGGATTGCTCTGCAAGGCTAAGGGCAGGAGACTTCCAATTACTTACCCCTGCAAGATTTTATCAGTAAACTGACAACTTCAAGTGTCTCCATTTACACTTTCCTGTTGTTAAACACCATTAAATACATTGATTGGATCCATGCAGTTTTAAAGACACACAGCCCACCCCTAACTAAAACTGCGGGAATGTCTTTGAGAAATTGAGATCAAAAACTAAAAACCTGAATTGGTAGGGGTAGATTCATTTTCATTCTTCATGTTTCTTTAGGCAAGCACAGCAGTTGACAATCACACACTGCTGTGTACTTACGGTTGGTGTTACTTGTTAAGAAAACGTGTGCCAATTGGTAGGCTGACAAAAATAATAAACCAAAAAGACAAAAATTGGGTTGGATTGTTTTGAAGTACTCCTTTATCTCATCTCTTTTAGTTCCACCAATCTCCTATTGATCAGTTGATTATGAGAATATTTTGAGTATCTACTATGGAATAAAATATATCACTAATAAGACAAACAATACATATTTGCCCACTATAATCATTCATATTTATTGAGGTATTAGGGGCCCAGTGTATGAATTTGTGCACCTTGAAAGGAACTGTAGTCCACAAGGCTGCAGTGGGCACAGAGGTGAGTCTTGGCCCATCCTCCGTGCCCCTGCCCGGCTGCTGCCGCCACGGCCCTGGTCCCTGTCTGCCTGTAGCCCCGCTCCTGCTGCCTCCGCTCCCCTGCTGAGGCACAGAGCAATTGGGACCAGCACCAGCTGTGGGTGCAAGCAGCGGTTGCTGCCCTGATCACCCCTCAGGAGCAGGGGGAGGTGGAGAAGCCCTCAGGGGCAATCGGGGCCAGTGGCAGGTGCAAGCACCCGGCAGGACGGCGGCAAGTGGGAGCAAAGAATTTTCAGTAGCAACCAGAGGCTCACCCCGATGACAGTGACCGGCGCCCCACCTTGGTCTGGTGCCCCCACTCACCTGCTCTACCATCATGCTGTGACCAATGCTCACCATGTTCCATGCTTGCCCCCGGTGGTCAGCACACATCATAACAACTGGTTGTTCAGTTGTTCGGTTGTGCAGTTGTTCTGCCATTCAGTCTATTTGCATATTAGGCATATATATATATATATATATATATATATATATATATATATTCACATACTCAAAAATTTACCTGTGTGTAGTGTACAATTCAATGACTTTGAGTATGTTCATAAAATTATGCAACCATTACCACTAATTCCAGAACATTTTCATCACCCCCCAAAAAAACATGTACCTGTAATAGTCACTCCCACATTTCCCTCTTTCTAGCCCCTGGTAATCACTAGTCTACTTCCTGTCTCTATTAACTTGGCTATTCTGGACATTTCATCTAAATGAAAAAACACAATATGTGGTTTTTTTGTGTATGGCTTTTTTAACATAGCATAATTTTTTTAAGGTTTTTCCAAGTTGTAGCGGGCATCCAGGCTTCATTCCTTTTTATGACCAAATGATATTTTATTCTATGGCTATGCCACATGTTGTTTATCTATTCATTAGTTGGTGCACTTTGGCTTGTTTATATTTTGGGGACATTACAAATAATGTTGCTGTGAACATTTGTGTACTTGTTTTTGGACATAATTTAAAAAAATTCTTGGACATATACCTAAAGGAGAAACTAATGGATCATATGGTGTCTCTTGATTTAACTTTTTGAGGAGGTGTCTACCTGTTTTTACAAAGTGACTTTACCATTTTACATTTCCCCCAGCAGTGTATGAGGGTTTCAGTTTCTCCACATGCTTGCTAACATCTGTTATTGTAGCCATCCTAGTAGGCATGGAGTGGTATTTCAGTGTGAATTGTTTTAGTATTTACAAACTAGGTGACATGTGGGTAGATATGAAAGTAAATTTCTGAAGACATAATTAGATGATAGATGGAAAGAAGATACATATAAAAGTTTTCAAATACATTACAAAAAACAACACACGACTATTTTTTTTTTCCTAAGAAACTAGCATACTCATGGATTCAGATTCACTTTTGTAAGAGTAGTGACTCCTTCAAAGTCACAGGCATTAACTGGCTTTTGAAGGAAGAACACTATCTAAGAGAGGAAGAATAGGGAAAAAACATTTCAGACAGAATATTTAATATTCTGGAAGTAAAATAGACTGAGGTTTCATTGTAAACCATTGAGTAGATCAATTTTGCTTGAGAAGACAGTTTAAAAAGAGATCAGATTGAGAAAAAATATAACCATTGCAACTGAAATAGAGCAACAGAAATAAATGGAATGATTATACCCAATATTTTTAAACAATGCAAGATAATAGGTTTAATGCCATAATGAATGATACATAATAATTAATGTGGTTGTGCACTGAAACATTCATGAAAAGTGTCAGAAGAAGATGGGTGTTTTACAGGATAAGGACACATGCCATTTAGGCCCAATATCAGAGGAATAATTTGGAATTCAGCAATTAGGTGGGCAAACCTCTACCTACTGTTTGGCTCTCTCCACAGGCCTTGTTCTCTATTGTGTTATGCCATTGGATCCTGACTTTCTTGGGACCCTAGGGCCTTGATTGCATCTGGTTTATTTTTGTTTTATTTTCTTCTTTTGAGCCTATATAGGCTACCAGCTACCTTATGCTTATATTTTTAAAAAGTATTTCACATGAAGGTATTAGTTATATCATAATCAGAAGCAAATGCTAGTTATTGAATTAAACTGAAGAATTGGGGAATTGGTGACACTAAAATTTCCATAGCCCTTAAGGTGACAATTGCTGGTTCTCACTGTAGGAGCAGAGCTTTCTCTCTCCCTTCCTCGAACAGCTTTTGGAAAAGGAAAGTGACCTGATGAATCTGAGGATTCAGGAAAGTCCATCCGCCATGGATAATGCTCTCTGTACACATGAGATGGAAGTAGAAATCAGGAGAATGAGTGATGATGGTAGAAAGTGGCTAGTGCCAGACAAAATACTAAGAAAGGGATGAACACGAGTTCATAGCAGAATGTGTGAAGGGGAAGGGCAGGGTTAAACCCACTGGGGCCTGGTCACTTAGAATAGTAAAGCCAAGATCAGAAAACAAAAGTTGGGAAGTGAATATTTCAGTTACTAACAGTAGGAGCTCATTCAAAGGGAACTCATAAGTTAGGCTTGGAAGGTGAGTGGCATCATCCTAAACCAGCGGTTCTCAACCTGTGGGTCGCGACCCCTTTGGGGGTCGAATGACCCTTTCACAGGGGTCGCCTAAGACCATCGGAAAACATATATATAATTACGTATTGTTTTTGTGATTAATCACTATGCTTTAATTATGTTCAATTTGTAACAATGAAATTGGGGGTCACCACAACATGAGGAACTGTATCAAAGGGTCGCAGCATTAGGAAGCTTGAGAACCATTGTCCTAAGCCATCCTAAGTGATGTGAGAAGATAAGGATAGTGACGGATCACAGTAGTAACGACAGCTCCACGGTTTAATGTCAGAAGCCACTATTCGGTTGCTGTTGAGGGGCAGCAGGGTGAGATTGGGGGTGGGGGACTTCCATTCTCAAAGTCTCCCCATGTGCTGATTTCCCAAGCCATTGCTTATGTATCCTGGGCAACTGAAAAATGGAAGAGGAGAGAAGGGCACCAATATGCATTAAAATCATTCTAAAAGTACAAGGAAACACTTTTATGTTTGACTGACTACACTTTAATCATCAACTCTAGCTACAAAGCATGCTGGGAAATATTCCTAAAAAATTTAAGTATTTCTCTTCTCAGAGAGAGAGCCACGGGCACAGGGTGATAGATAAGTGACAGCCTCTCACCTCCTCTGATAAAGAATAAGTGTACATCCTCTTCTAAACCTGTGGTTTTATGACTAAATCCTTTGTTTGGTTTTGTTTTCAGAATATTTTATTTGAGTTTGACTATAAGTAGGTCTGAGAGACTGTTTTTCCAATTACAGTTGACCTTCAATCTTATATTAGTTCCATGTATACCACATGCTGGATAGACATTTATATAACTTACAAAGTAATCCACCCAATAAGTCTAGTTCTATGACTCAACTCTTGTCTCACAGAGAAGAAAAATGAGTTTCAGAAGGACTAGCATGTTTGTCCCTGCCTTACCCTGCCCCACATCTCCCGCTCTCAATAAGTCAGCTCCTCCTGCAGAGGAGAAAATATTTCTCAGATGCCCAAAGCAAAGATGGTCTACTGTGAGGGGTGAAGTGTGTTCTATGGAAACCTCCAGCTTAGACATTGAAGGCCCTTACGATGCTCTGTGCTGTCATAAATACTTCTGTTTCCTTTATAGTAGTGTGCTTAGAGTGTGGAACATGTAGCTACATTTTAATTTTAAATGTATTTAAATAATGCTATTTGTTGAGTAAATATTTATTGAACTTAATGTATGTCAAAGATTGTGTTATTCCTGATAATTCAAATAAGCAAAAAATATAGGTAAATTAGGACATGTTTGAAACCTCTAAGAGCATCTGAGATGCTCATAGTACAATGAGTAGATGACAAGAAAATTTTCACCACACACACACACACACACACACGCCCACATGTTATGCTACACTATGCTACGCTATGCTATGCTATGCTATGCTATGCTATGCTATGCTATGCTAGTTCTGTTATGCTGTGCTGTGCCATGTTGTGTGTTAGGGTAGAAATAAGTAATACATTCTTCCAATTTCCAGGAGCAAAATTTGTAGTAACTTGCATTTTAAAGGAAAAAAAGAGGAAGAACTACCTCCATCTGTTTTGGGAAAGAGACAAGATGTAAACCTATTGAATCAATAAAATATAGGGGTTGTGGATACTTCCTCTTTGAAGCATTCCTCAATAAGTGTACTATGTGCTTGTAGAATTATGCCTGACTGCTTTGATTACTAAATGTTGCCCATAAAGATAATGCTGGATGGAGATGAATATTTTTCATTGAAAATGCCACACCTACTCAACTGGAGAATTCTGCCACTGGCTAGAATGATGGGTTTAGGGTGAATGCCTAACCATGTCATAAAGGATATTTCATTTTCCCTTTGTGTCTGACCCACTGAAGTGATGGCTGTTACATGCAGTGTGCTTGCCCGGGTAAGCAGGGCAGTGTGCCCCTAGTGTTAGGGAATCACTGAAGGTGACACTGGGCACAGAACTCTGTGGGCTATGACATGATAAGTTAATTACTATTTTCCATCTTAAAATACTAGTATGTACTCGAAAATGATAATAAACTACTGGTTTCACAACATAATATTAGTATATGTCCTTTAATTAAGTAAATACCTTGGAAAAATTATGCAGTGTGATAGTCTGTTAATTGACCTGGTGCTGTAGGGGAGCAGAATATAAATTTAACACATTTCAATACATTACGTTGGGACAAAGAGGAGATTTTAAGGTGAGAAACTGCACAATTTCAAAAATTTAATATTCACCTGTAAATAGCATATCTGCTTTCAAGTTTGGAAACTAACTGTCTAAAGCTTTTGTGAGTGCAGCACAATTGTGATTTCCCACATAATGGATTTCATCGTTTTCATTTCTCATATATCTCTAATTTCATCAATCATTCCTATTAGACTTTTCTGATTTAAAGAAGGATATAAAATTACATTTTATTGAATTACAAATGTGAATACAATCACTATTAATATTTATTCAGGTTTGATGTCCATGTGTCAGAGTGAGATTTTATCAAATACAAAATGTTTCCATGTCTGTTGTTCTCTTTGACTTTTTACATTCTGTATCTTCAGTGTTGTTCATAAGGTTTCTTATGGTTTTTTGCTACCACTGTCATTGTGCAACATATTTTTTGCAGTAATACATGCTTTTAGTATTTTAAAATAAAATGACATAGTATAGCAGATTATTATGTTTCTAACAATTTTTGCTATTCTTTAACAAGCTAAGGAAATCTAATTCTGTATTTTCTAAATGTATACCAATGCTTTATAGCTAACACAAATAATTTTGATTGGAAGGAACATTGGA